TGTTATATATATATATATATATATATGTATATGAGTGTGTTTGTGTGTATGTTCGTCATCATTTATCCCTACAATACTCCCGCGGTATCTTTCTATTCTGTCGTAAACCTGTATACATGTTCGGTACCACCGTACTGCTTTATGCTATCGTGTATACTGCGCTATCCTATACCCGTGACACTGTCCGACCAGTTTCTCCTTGTTCTCTTTGCATGCAGGTAATGCAAGTCCTGGGGGAGGGCTTCAGTGAAACGGAGATCGCGCTTATAATGCGCGAGAGTATCGCAGGCCTAAAGCATCTGCACAAACTACGCAAAATACACCGAGACATCAAGGGAGGGAACATCCTCATCACAGAGACAGGTAGGGTGTATGTGAGTGCAAATCCACCCACCAAGCCAGGTCTTCACTATACGCATACGTTCAGTTATGTGTATTCTACGATGACTGGGATATATCACTTGTTTACCTTGTTTGTGTGTTGCGCGTTCGTACCGTAGAACACATCCTGGTTTGATTTGTTCCCGAGTGTGAGCGGAAAGTATATAAATAGACCCAAGAATTGGGTACATCCACATTGTACCTCATGCCAATATCCCATAAAGAATGACCACGACTGCTGTCGTCTAATGTATGACTCACTCACTCACTCACACACACACACTCTCTCTCTCTCTCTTTCTACCTACACTTCCAATACAAGGCCAAGTCAAGATCGCCGACTTCGGGGTGGCGATTCCCCTACAAAACACTTTTGCCAAAGCCAATACCTTCATTGGCACGCCGTACTGGATGGCGCCTGAGGTTATCAAAGGCAAACAGTACGACCACACAGCCGATATCTGGTCTATGGGTGTCACAGCCATAGAGCTGGCGGAGACCCTACCCCCTCTGGCATCACACCACCCCATGCGGGTCTTGTTCTCTATACCGAATCGCGAACCGGCTCAACTCAAGGAACCAGGTACCGTGTCACTCTTGTGTGGAAGAGTATTGTATGTGAACCGTGTCACTCTTGTGTGGGAGAGTATTGTATGTGAAAGTATTAGACCTGAGCCCAGTGTGTTCGCAAGTGCCTAGGGACTATCACGCATGTTAATGAAAATACTTACAGATACGCATGACCTATCATGGGTCTGTCTGTGTGACATGTAACCTACATGTCTGTAGGTAAAAGTCCTGGCTCTTATTGCACGTTATAGCTTGCGTCCAATTGCGTTGTGCTTGCGATGCATAACCATCCATTCCTATTGTTATCTTATCTGCCCACCCCCGGTTCTTCATTCTCGTCTCACCCCTTGCCCGCCCTCCTCAAGCCCAGAGTACTACCTTACAATGCACCATTGAATTGCGTGTTACTACTTACATTATATCATTGTATGTAGTTGGGTCGTCCTGTACTAGGCCCTGCAGTATACCATGGTTCAACATGTGTCTCCCGATGCTCTCTTTTGCGGACGGAGGCACCTACGTTGCTATACATCCCACCCGTCACACTCGCACGTATCTGCAGCGCTTTGTGCTGAGACCTACGTGTATATGCATATACCATATACTTGTGTATATGCATATACTTGCTATGTTGCTTATCTTCTCGCCCTTCCGCTTACGACTTCACAGGCTCGTGGTCCGAGAGCTTCGCCCAATTCATCGCGGCGTGCCTGCAGAAAGAACCATTCAAGCGATCAAGCACTGTGGAACTACTAAACCACGCTTTCATCACCAGCAAAAACGTATGTGTTTGTCTCTCGGCAAAAAACTGCTGGGAATGGTATCGAGTCCCTTTTGAACCAAGACCTGTGCAAATTCAGGGGGGGGGGGTGGGGAATAGTGTTTTAATCCCGATAAACATCTCGCACTGCCTTTACCCATCTGTACACCCTTGCATACACTCGATATACTAAACCCTAAAACCCTAAAACCCTAAAATCCTAAAACCCTGAAGCTACTAAAGCACTTCTCGCCGAACCCAAGAGTGAAGGAGTGAAGGAGTGCTAGCTAGACAATCCATATACTACATACTCTCTATGCGCGCCATATCTGTCAACCACCGTCGCATATACCTCACTACACACCCGATCTCATACCCACACTCTGATGGAGTCGTAATCAACCCTTCTCTTTCCATACACACTTTGATATACTTCTCTTCACCACCCCGCAGTTCTCACCCAACCCGCTCATCGCTACGATCACCCGAGTGAAGGAGCGCAAACTCAAAAAACAAACGGAGGAAGACAGTGGAGAGGCCTTTGACATACTACAGAGCCTTGTGTTTGACGATGACAACGCTATTCCTGGCCTAGATACGCTCTCGTGCGGCTCAGTGGAGAGTCTGGGCAACGTTAGCAGTAACAGCAGGTGTGAGTGCGTGTGTGTGTGTGTGCGTACAAGCGTGTAGGTGACTGGGTGTGTGTGAGAGTGGGTGTGTGTCGGTGTGCTAGTGTGTATGATACTTGTGATACGAAGGAAGGGATCACAAGGGATCGATATAACAAATAGTACCATCATGGCATCTGTATGTTGCTGGTAGTAGAAACGTACTGGATACGCTATAGCAACGCTAGGGCGGGCCATCTGTGGCAGATCCTTCCCTGCCACCATAGGTCAGCCCCAACCCGCACCCGGCATACGATCAAAGACGATCTGACTACGACCATACACAACCCACCCCATACACACATGTAAATGACATCTCACCCCCTATTCTAATGGATTGGTAGGTAGCAGTATGGATACCACAACACCCTCCTCAATACATATCGCCACAGCACCAGCTCCACACCAGAGTCCCAATGCCATGGCACACACGGCCACTTAGTTCAGAACCACTCCCAGGCACAGGCACATGTATATGGGAGAGCCAACCCTATACCATAGGCCACACGAACCCTATCCCTAACATCTCTCACTCTGTTGCAGCAATTTGGATCTTATAGAACGGGCCATCTATAGCGAGAGCCTTGCAGCCACCGCCACACAGTCACAGCCCAATCCACGCTCGGTATACAAACGCGCACAGTCGCATGAACCACACACGCGTGTAGCCAAAGGCGATGGACGGGGACCATTTGCCAGGCATATACAGAGCGGTCGCATAACCTCAGGGAAATCAATGGATAGCGTATCCACACCGTCAGGCAATATGGGACGACATAGTGGTATGCTATGTACATGTGTATGGAATACGTGTGTATATTATGTATATACATGTGTGCGGAATACGTGTGTATAATATGTATATACATGTGTGTGTAATACGTGTGTGTATTATATATATAGACGTATTAGTCATGTTAGATGTATGAGTAGTCAATTCCTGGGCACAGTCGATCGTCTGAGGTGTCAATTGATATTGTGCCGAAGCTATCACACGCATTGGCGCGATATATGGGTCTGGAGTGGAGTATATATATATATATATATATATTGTGTGTGTGTGTGTGTGTGTGTG